TGTGTTATGATAATTGTTCAAGGTCCACTTATGAGTGAGAACATATGGTACTCTGTTCTTTGTTTCTGTGATAGATCGCTGAGTATGATCAACTCTGTTTATTCTTCTTTATAGCTGCGTAATATTTCATTATGTATATGTACCACATTTTTTTTTTATCCAGTCCAGCTTCTATGGGCAGCATGATTGGTTCCATGTTTTTGCTCTTGTGAATAGAGCTGCAACAAACGTGTGTACAGGTATCTTTTTTATAGAATGATTTGCGTTCCTCTGGGTATATTCCCAATAGGGGGATTGCTGGGTCATATGGAAGGTCAATTTCTAGTACTTTCAGAAATCACCACACTGTCTTCCAAAGAGGTTGCACTAGTGTGAATTCCCACCAGCAGTGTAGAAGCATTCCTTTTTCTCCGTATCCTTGCCAGCATCTGTTGTTGTTTGTTTTATTAATGATGACCATTCTTACTGGGATTAGGTGGTATCTCAATGTGGTTTTGATTAGCATTTCTCTAATAATTAGTAAGATTGAGCACTTTTTCATGTGTCTGTTGGCTGCCCATATATCTTCTTTTGAGAAGTGTCTATTCATGTCTTTTGCCCGCTTTTTTTTTTTTTTTTTTTTTTGAGTTGGAGTCTCACTCTGTCACCCAGACTGGAGTGCAGTGGCCACTCCCGGCCACCGCAGCCTCGACCTGCTGGGCTCCGGCGATCCTTCCGCCTCAACTTTCCAAGTAGCCGGAATTACAGGCATGCACTACCATGCCCGGCTGATTTTTTGATTTATTGTAGAGATGAGGTCGCACTGCCCAGGCAGGTCTCCAACCCTCGGGCTCAGGCAATCCACTCACCTCAGCCTCCCAAAGGCACGGGATTACAGGCTGAGCCACCAAGCCTGGCTCTTTTGCCCGCTTTTTAATGGGACTTTTTTTTCCTTTTGGCATCTTTTGCTTTGCAGAAGCTCGTCAGTTTGATGAGGTCCCGCCTTGCCTATCTTACCTCCTATGGTAGAGGCACTTAAGGTTTTGATCAGGAATTGGCTGCCAATTCCAATCTCCATAAGGGTGTGTCCTGTATTTTCTAAGATTCTTATAGTTTGAGGTTTTATATTTTTAATTTTTTAATTTTAAAGATGTGGGGTACAGTTCAGGGTTAGGTATACAAATGTTCATTATGCAGGTGCCCTAGTTGATGAGGAATGCCCCCCGCCCCAGAGATTTCCACTACTGCCAGTCCCACCCCTGCTGGCAGTTTCCCACCAGTACTGCCAATCCTTTTCTTATAGTATTACAATAATTGTTAAGGTCCACTTATGAGCAAGAACATGTGATATTCAGTTCTCTTTTTCTGTGATAGATCACTCAGTATTATAGACTCTAAGTCCATCCAAGTTCCTGTGAAGTTCACAATTTTGTCCTTCTTTATGGTTGTGTAATATTCCATCATGTATATGTACTACATTTTTAAAATTCATTTCTCTTTCCATGGGCAGCATGGCTGGTTCCATGTTTTTGCTATTGTGAAAAATGCTGCAATAAACATACATGTGCAGGTATCCTTTTTCATAGAGTGATAACTTTTTAAAGAACTGCCAAACCATTTTCCAAAACAGTTGCGCTATTTTATAATTCCACTAGCAGTGCATTAGGTTCCAGTTTCTCCATATCTTTGCCAGTGCTTGTTACTATCTGTCTTTTCTAGTCTTACCATTCTAGTGGGTGTATGGTGGTATCTCTGTGGGACTTTGATTTACATTTCCCTGATGGCTAATGATATTGAGCATCTGTTCATATATTTGTTAGTCATTTGTATCTCTTCTTAGGAGAAATGTTGGTTCAGATCCTTTCTCCATGTTTGAATTAATTTGTCATTTTAATTCCATGTCATAATTTTCTTTATGTATTCCTGATATGATATGCAAATATTTTCTCCTATTCTGTGGGCTTTTTCTCTTTTCTTTTACATTTTTTGAATTTTATTTTATTTTATAGGTGTGGGGTACAATTCAAGATTGGGTATACAAGTGGTCATTGATGATGTCCTGTGAATCACGAGTTTTTAATTTTAGTAAACTTCAGTTAACCAATTTTTATTTGGTTGCCTGTGATTTTGGTGTGAGATCTAAGAAACTGCTGCTTAATCCAAGATTGTGATTCACTCATATATATTTTTCCTAAAGGCTTTAGAGTTTTAGCTCTTCAATTTAGATCCACTTTAAGTTAATTTTGTATCAGGTATGTATGCAGTTTCATTTATTTGCATATGGATATCCAGTTGTCTCAGTGTCATTTTTTTAAAAAGACGATTTTTTCCATTGAATTGTCTTAACACTTATCAAAAATCAGTTGACTGTAAATTTGAGGGTTTATTTCTAGGTTATCAGTTCAGTTCTGTGGGTTATGATAATGCCTTATACACTTCCATCAGAAGTCTCTGAGACAAGATAGTTTCTTCTGAGCTGTGTTCATCTTTCTAGGCTATGTTCTTATTAACTGGAAGCACTGTAGTGATGACAGTTTTCTGGAAGGCTGTTCACTTGGGAAAAGCTTTCAAGAAAGACACATTTTAATGCTTCTTAATTCCTTCCTTAATTTGATGTTGTTTTCTTTGCTTTTGTGGAGTTGTAAGCACCAAAGTGTGTACTCATGGCTTGCTTTCTTTGTCTTCAGTCTTCTTGGCACTCCTTGTAGCTGTCCATTTTGAGTCCTTATTTTTCTCCTAGAGAGCTCTTTTGAGCCCCGTGGAATTTGAGAGCAAGGTCAGTAGGTTGCACATTTGCATGGCATAATGTGGAGTGTCAGCACTGCGTGAACTCACAACCAAAGCCCTGTTCTGATCAAATATATCCATAGTTGACCAGTTTCCTGGCACGTGGCCTGTAGGTAATGCAGCCAGCTGGCAGTCTTCTGTGGCTTGAATGCCATGTTGGACCATACAGTACCTTTTCATCTCAGGCTATTACTCTTTAGAAGTTCAACTTCTAATCTTAGAAGTGGGAAGTTCTTTTGGTAGAGCAGGAAAGTGGAAAATAGATTCTCGTTGACACTGTGCAAAGATTAACAGGAATAGCTAGATTATGGATAAGTTTATTTGTCTGCTTATCCCAGTTGGTCAACTAGGTAGTAGTAAACTGCTTTTCAGGCATGAAAACTCTTAAACTTCTAAAACATAGATTTCACTTAATAATGATTCAAATGCCTATGGTGTGTAGATATTAATCCATATAATTGCTCTACAAATACCACTTTCCTATTGGTATAACACAATTGTTATTCTCTAGTTCCTTCAAGACACATTTTAGTTGGATAGTATACACAAAATTTCTTCAGAATTATACAGTAGAGTGTTCAATTCTGTGCTTGCTGGGGTAGGCATTCATTTCACAGATACATACATACTGCCAGTGTGCTGGGAAGTATGCTAAGTGCTACCTTCATCAATTTACTGGCCACCCTGAACATGTTCTTTAGCCAGGCACTTATGTGTAAAATCACTTACTTCTGTGATTGCCTTCAGGTCTTCTAGGTTTTCCTCTCTATGGTTAGTAAATGACTGGACTTAGCCAAACACGCTAGCAATCAGAAACTTTTATTCATCCATTGATGAAATAAATGTTCCTTGAAACCTCTTATATTCTATATTGTTGCTGGCAATACATATTGCTGCTGGCAATACAAGCGGCCTCAGTCTCTGTCCTAGGACTCATCACTGTAGAGTGATGTTGTTTATAACTCTATAATTACACCAACAAATCAGTCTTACATGACAATTTGTGCTTTGAGAACACATAATAGTCATCTGTTCTTTAAAACAAACCGACAAAACACAGTAGGCAATAAAAATGCGTACGATGTGCTAAAGGGGTTTGCCTTGAGAGGGGCAGAGACAGCTTCTGTAAGAAAGTGGCAGTTAAGCTTAGCTCTTAGGACTCAACCAGGGTCAAGGGTGGTGGGAAAGCCTTACAGGTTGAGAGAGCCCCTGTGCCAGGGAAACCAAAGGAAGGCTGGAGTGGACAAGGATTAAGGTGGGTCTGGCACTTTGAGACCCTGTTGACTGCGATGAAGGATTTGTTCTCTATCCTGAGAGCAGAAAGAAGCCATTCAAATTATAAACAAAAGTCACTTTTTACTGAGCCTGTGACCTAGGTTTTCATGAAAGGCAGATTCCCTTTTCTTCAGACAGTATTGATTTCTAGATAGAAAACGTTAAATTTTTAAAGTTTTGTTTTCTGTAGAGCAATGCTTCTCCACCTTCAGTGTGCTTCATAAATTACCTGGAGGACTTGTTTAAACAGATTCCTAGGTCCCACCTCCAGAGATCCTATAAGTTGGATGGGATTCAGTAATGTGAATTTCCACCAAGTTCCTGGAAGGTACTGATGCCACTGGTCCTGTCTGTGGACCTGATTTTGAGTTACAAAGTTGACTCAATTTTCTGGTCATCATTTTCCTTTGGTATAACAATAAAGGATTCTTGTTAGTTATAGGATAACCAAGAAATCTTTTTTCCTTGTGTTTGGGGAGCTATATTTTATATAAGCTACTTTAAGCCTATAAGCCTTACTAATTTGTGTTCTATATATGCAACTTCGTGAGGTAATGTGATAGTAAACAGTACTGAGGAGACATAGCTCCAAAAATCAAGAAGCTTAAAGTCAGAAGGAAATTGTGATTAGCAAAAATTTACTGTTTTTTGTACCAGCTCAACAGTGCTGTTGAGATTTGAAAATTAGAGCAGTATGATTCTGAGACACTTGGTGTTTCAGCAAGAGTAAATCTGTGTATTAATTGAATCAGTTTTTCGTTTTTGTTTTTCTAGATCTAATTACTTGTTTGGACACTGCATCTAATTTTTTGGAACCTGAGTTCAGGTATGACCAAATTTGTGACTTTTTTTCCTTAATGTTACTCTTCATCTACTTCATACTCATTCTGTGTACACTTAAGCTTATCACATATTTTGTGACACATAATTGCTGTTTCAAGACTCCAATAAATTAGAGCTTATTTAGTTACCATATTTAAATGTTGTTTTATTGTAGCATTTAGGGCTTCTGCAGAATGAAAATGTAGTTTTAATATGCTTTAAAAGTAGAACTAGTTGCTCTTCAAGATGTGGCAAAATAGCTGACAAAAATAGAAGAGCTATTTTTTCAAAAAAAGATAAGAGTGGTTCTGGTTGTTACGGCATTCCTCAGTGTTCTTACCTAAGTAGCGTTTCTACTTCTGTTTCTCTGCTTTATGTCTTTGTCTCTTGCCTAGATTAGGGTTAACTTCTACTTGAGTTCAGATTTCTGCTATCTGCTGACTTTCTTCTTCCATTAACAGTACTGCCAAGTTGTTTTCCAAAACACATATCTGATCATTTCCCTACTTTAAAATCTTGAGAAACTCTTATTTATGGTTAATAAGGTGGCCAGATGTCTTAGCCTGGTCTTCAGGGTCCTTCACAAGTATCCTGGCCATTTTTCCAGTCTTATCTTATTTTCTCCATGTTGAAACAACTCTGGACTATTCACACTGCTCTGAGCTCTCAGAACTTTACCAGGAATTGCTTGACTCCCTTCTGCTTGGCAAGATCGTTCTCATCTTTCAAGACCCATCTCACTAACCTCCTCCCAACCTTCTACCCCTCCCCTTAGAACCTTAATTTTGTCTTCAAGAATGGTTCTGTCTGTGTGAGAAGGGTGCCCTCTTCAGCATCTGAGGGGGACCCTGGCCTCAGTGTGTGGTCCATGGCCCCACCAGAGAGTCAGCTGCCCTTGCTTCACTCTCCAGCTCTGTCATCTTCCCAAATCCAAGCTCCGGTCATGCCTGTCTGGGGCAATGGCACTATTTGCCTAACGGTGTTCACCTTCCGCTCATGATTCCTGACAACCTTTTGTCTTCCCAGGAGCCAGAACAATCTTTTTAAAAAGGGTTGATCAGATTATTTGTGTAAGCCGTCAAAATCTTTGCTGGCTTCTTGTTTTTACTTAGAAGTATGTTCCAGATTCCTTGCCATAGCTCACAAGGCTCCTGTATGGCCTGCCCCTGCCTGCCTCTCCAGCCTTTTCTCCAGTTAACCTTACCTTTGCTCACTGAGTCTCCTTGCACTGCCGTTCTCACTTCAGACACCTGCAGGCCATCCTCAGGCTGGCTCTTCTGACTGGTGTGAGTTGCCCACCACTCATTCCAGTGACATCCCTTTCTTAGCTCACTGCTGAGGCCTCACTTCCTCAGAGCTCTGTTCCTGACTGGGATGGACAGAGACCTGCATAAGAGCAGTGACTCTGGAGCCCAAAAGCCACCTACCAGCCTTGTGAACTGGTCAGTTCCTCAGTTTCCCTGTCTATAAAATGAGGATAGTAATAGCACCTTCCACCTAGGGCTTTTGTGTTGTTTACCAGAAACACTTAGGATGCTACCTGGCAATTCAGGGAGTTTACTGAATACTTGTCCTACTTTTATTATGTTAGATTTTCCCAGTTATTTCAAATATTTGATTCTTCATAGCAGAATCAAAATCTGTTTGTGTAAGTATTTGTTTAATGTCTCCTTCCACCACTGGACTGTAAACTCAGTGAGGACAGGGGCCACATTTGTTTGGTTGACCTTTGTAAATCCAGTACCTAGCACAGCCCAACACTCAACAAACAACACAGTAGACATTTATATATATGTATTGGGTGGGTGAGTAAGTGAATAAATAAATGAATGAACCTCTTTTATAATGCAACTTAAATTTGATCCATGGAGGGTTGGTAAAATATATTATGGCTGCTCACGGAGTAGAATATCGTGTAGCTATTAAACATGATGAATAGGTCTTATAGTAGAAACATGTCAGCCATTCATTATGAAGTAAAATAATCAAAGCAATATGCAGAATATGAGAACATTTTTGTAAATATGTGGGTGAAGACATGTTATATATGTATGTATGAAAGAAAGCCTGAAAGGGCTTTGTGGAAGTGATCGTTCTTTCAGGGTGATGAGATTATATTTACGTTGAACTGAAAAATGTGTGTGTGATATTTTGGTGGGGGATATTTTTTCCTTACAGAAAGAACAGCATTATATAACTTGTTGCTTGTTTTATTTCTCAGTAAGTACTGCCCAGCTGGTTGTCTGCTTCCTTTTGCTGAAATATCTGGAACAATTCCTCATGGGTATAGAGATGTAAGTTGGATATAGATTTATTTTAAAGTTGTGATATAACTTTATCTTTTTAGGACTCCAGAATAGTTAGATATGTGTTTATTATATATATTTAGCTTCTCATTTTTTAGTAATTGTAGTGTTATATTCTTTCTGCTAAAAAATTTGTTGTGTGAGAGTACTAGTAATCTATGTTTATGAGAAAGCTGCCCAGATCAACTGATTTCTTTAGGAAGTAGAAGTGTGTCCTGCTTATGAATTACCAGGAACAAATTAAAAACTAAAATTTATTTTCCCTTTCCTTTAGTCATCACCGTTGTGCATGGCTGGTGTGCATGCAGGAGTCGTGTCAAACATTTTGGGTGGCCAAATCAGTGTTGTCATTAGTAAAGGTATTCCGTACTATGAAAGTTCTTTGGCTAACAACGTTACATCTATGGTGTAAGTATATTTGCTGTTTTGCAATACATATGCTACTTATAATAAACATGCTAGGTAGGGGTGGGCTAGAGACTGACTAGATTTCAGCAATATCACTGTTAATGGTGTTCACAAAAAAAACATTTAGGTAATAAACATTGACATTTGTGTGTCCTTGATGTCTGAGTATTTTGAAGAGTACAGACAGCGTTATATAACCTTAGCTTGTTCTACTTCAAAAAGGTAGTCGTTTGGAAGGGTGATTTGTTACTTTCTTCCTTTCTAAGTCTGAAGTAAGAGTCTGGAAGTTTTGTTGCCAGGTCCTTATTTTATTTTAAACATCAGAAGTCATAACACTGTGCTCCTTATAGCCCAGGTGACCCAGGAAGGATTGGGGTTAGTTGAAATACTTTGAATATAAATTAATATTTGACATAAAATGTGTCATAAGTATTATTATGAATCTCTCATTCCAAGAGAATATTTTAAGGATATATTTTCATGGTATTTGCAATATTCTGTTGTACAAAACTGAGAAAGCCACAAGAGCAGGGATTGACGCATTACATAGAAATGCAGTATTAACAACCTGGTTTTAGGAAGCCTGCCTCTTAAATTTGCTCAGTTCTGCAGACAATACTGAGCCTAATTGAGAGCAGCTTCTCTAGACATTCTCAGCCATTTTTCACCCAGAAGACGGAGCGTGATCCACACCCAGGAGGGTCTAGAGCTGGGGTCAGCAAGCCTGTTCTATTAGGATCCAGCTAATAAATATTTTAGGCCTTACGGGCCATGTGTCTCTATTGCTTATTCTTCTTTGTTGTTTTATTTTTAGCTCTCTAACCCTGTAAAACCCATACTTAGCTCACTGGTCAGCAAGACAGGCCATGCATGAGCTGTTATTTGCTCATACCTGGAGTGGACTCAACTACCTTTTCTTCTTTTGGTTCCTTCTAGTCAACTTTATCCAGATCCTTTAATTCCTTTCCCTGTCCTGACTTTAGAAAGATTCAGTGTATGTGAATTGTCTCATGCCTTTAAGAAAACAGTGATAGGGTGCATCCTCTCATGACAGTTTGAACATTGTACTTAAGGCAGGAGTAGACACTGCCGATTGTGTTTCTTCAAGGTCCTTGCGTCCTTTGACCTGCACTGGGTGCACTTTCCATTTCTAAACCCTCCATCCTCATCACCTCGCCCGTTCTTCCCATTACTCTGAAATCCAAATGTAATGCTGCATTCCAGTACTAAACTTACTCTCAGGGGTGGTGATTTCCTCTAAAAATGCAATGTCTCAATTAGTAGCCAGCTTTTCTTCTGCTTACCTCAAAAAACGTGAGCCTCATTCTCTGAGAATTGGGAGGGTGTATTTTTACCAAAAGCAGTTGCCACAGAAAAAGTGCTAAGAATCCATTTATTTCATGAAATAGACTAGTGAGAGATTAACAGTAAACAATGAGTACATAAATTATAAAAATAAGTACATAGTAAAGGTGGCATGGACACTTTGTACAATCATGTATGGAACTGGGTCCTAGATACTTATAGAGAAAGTTGTTTATGCTGACTCAGAAGATGTCCTGTTCAAAAATGAGACTTTTTTCCCTAGGGACAGTATTAGTTGTCTAATTTTTAGCCATGAAATCTTAATTATTTCAACAGTGGGGTGGGGAAACCAATCAGAAGAAAAAGTTTCTTTAAGGTAAATGTGGGGAAGTTATGTATTACATAATTATCCCCAACAAAACCTCTCTCTCTTTCAGGGGACTTTTATCTACAAGTCTTTTTACATTTAAGACAAGTGGTAAGCCTTTTATTGACCTTGTAACTTTTTGTTATTTATGTAATAGCTAATATTTTTTGAACACTGGCCGCATTGTGTTTTGCGCTTTCTCATTTAGCTACCATATAACACTATGAGGTAAGGTAGGTACCTAGTAATATAAAGAATAAATTGGAGGTTTTATGAGAGGGAAGCAAACAAAAAATTATCTCCTGGAGGGAGGCCCCATTGTAGTACAGACGTCCTCTGCTAGGAGAGGTGTTTTAGGGGTCCATTGACATCAGTGTACCAGCTAGTGCTGTTTTAAGAGACTGCTTTCAGTTACAATGAATTTTTTTTTTGAGATTCTTTCAACATGTTTGCTCATTTCATGATGGATGATTTGTGAGTACACCAATCCACACCACACTGAAAGCTCAGCAGTTTTTGACCAAAAACAGCATTACCCCCGTGTCCCACCCTCCCTATTTACCCAATCTTGCCCCAAGTGACTTTTTATTGTTTCCTCAGATGAAAAAATCTTTAAAAGGAAACATTTTGCAGATTTGGAAGAGGTGAAACAAAAAATGATAGAAGCACTAAAAGGCATCAAATTTGACAAGCTCAAAAACCTGTTTTGAGCAATAGGAAAAAAGTTGAGCCTCATTCTCTGTAGTGCATCTTTGAAGTGCATCAGACAGAGGTGCACGGAAGGTGAATGAAGTTTAAACATATAAGAATAAATACATGGTTTTTAATAAATATTTTGTGTTTTGGAGGTTCCTTCTCATATATTAATAGGGAAATAATCATGTAAGCAAGCAAGATTCCTTAGGAAAGATGACTTTTAAAATTGAAAAGTAATTCATTCAAGAGAAAATATTTACTGAGTGCCTTCTTTATTTGCCAGGTGTGGCTCTGGGGCTGTAATACAGCAATGAGTAAAATGAGCAAACTGACTTCTTGGAGCTTACATTCTGGTAGCAATGCATACATATGTTATTGCTTATAAGATTGTTTACAACCTGATAAAAGGCATATAAAAATCAGGCAAAGTGGGAGGACAGGAAATGCAGGAGGACTGGTTTGCAGTTTTAAGTAGGGGCAGGGAAGGCCTCATAGAGACATGGTGTGGACAAAACTCTGAAGGAGACAGAGGAGTGAGTTACCCATTTAGCTGAGGAGACTGTCCCAGGGAAAGGGTAATATATCTCTATTAAGCTAAGTTACTGCTTGTGAATGAGTATGTTTGTAGGTTTCCTAATGATATACATGAAGACATATGCCCAAGAAACACTTGCCTAGTTTTGAAATCTCTCTATTACAGTATATTATTTGCAGAGTGTATGATAATTAAAGGTGTAATAAAAGTTTGCAGTGACCAGGTGTATATGGATTTTGAATTTATATCTGGAAGCCAGATTTACTCTCTTCTTTATTTCAGGTTGTTATGGAACACTAGGCATGGAGTCTGGTGTGATTGCCGATCCTCAGATAACAGCATCATCTGTGCTGGAGTGGACGGACCACTTGGGGCGGGAAAATAGCTGGAAACCCGAAAAAGCCCGGCTGAAGAAACCTGGCCCTCCTTGGGCAGCTTTTGCCACTGACGATTATCAGTGGTTACAGATAGACCTGAATAAGGAAAAGAAGATAACAGGTTACAAGATATAGTTTTCTAGAGTAATTTATAATGCTTTATTTGAAAAACTGATACCATCTACGATTTTTCAGGGAAAATTTGGTCACCAAAAATTCAATTATATAGTTTTAAGTTTTTTTCACTGGCGTTACTGTTACTGGAGATAGTTTTATGAAACATGGCAGAGAAGGGGAGTTGGTATTTAATTTGTAATTGCTTTTATGTTTCATTGTAATAAGACTCTTTTTTTAAAGTAATGTTTCAGTAAAGTGATCTTGAGTCAACTGAAATAACCATCTCGTGGTCATTAAGAAAAATTTATATTCAAGAAGTTCATTTTAATTGCTGTAAATAATTAATATTCCACATGTGCTGAACATTCATTTAGGGAAAATTAGCAAATGGTCAGAAAAATGGGTTGGGATTGGCTTAGATAATTTTGTTAAAAGATTTGCTTCGGTACTATAAATAATGCCAGTAAACAACTTTAATCTCATCACTCCCAGGAAGTCATTCATACTCAGTAGTTGAAATATATTTTACAATAATATGAACACAAGCTCCCAAAATAGAAGAGCTCTTTCCTTACATATGTCCATCATTCCTGTCTCTACAAGGGAGCAAAGCCAGGGATTTAGTAACTATTATGATGAAAACTTGCACTTAAAATGGAAATGAGCTGTAGCAGAAATGTTTGAACAGTGCATCTCAGATGTTGATGTTTTGATGCTTAGCAAACGCTGGGAACCAGTTGTGTGTACTAATGAAAGAACTCCTTGGTCCCCAGGCATCGTAACCACTGGGTCCACTATGGTGGAGCACAATTACTATGTGTCTGCCTACAGAGTCCTGTACAGTGACGATGGCCACAAGTGGACTGTGTACAGAGAGCCTAGTGTGGAGCAGGATAAGGTAAAATGATTTCCAAGCTATTTTTTAAAAGACTTTTTTTTTAATGGGCCTTTGCCAGAAGTCACAGAAGCTCCCCTGTGTGAGTTGTAGAAGTTAAATATTATTTTGTCTTACGCTACCCTCTGCTGGTTAATTTAGGTAGTATGTTTTACTGGCCCTATTCTAACTATGGTTAGAAAATTTTCAGTTCTAGGTCCCTTTTGGTGGTTGTAAGGGTAAGTACTTTTCCGACTTGTGTCACTGCATTTTTAACTGAGTTACTTAGACACTTTATTAAGAAAGTCTAAAAAAGATCGTGTAATTTCTTATCTTCATAAAGCTTTTCTTGTCGGTTCACCGCCTTTGTTCCTAGAGTTCTACTTTGCAGACAAGAGGTTAAAAAAGACAAAAAAGATGAAGACAAAAGTGCATTAAATCATAAGATATTATAGACATGGAAGGTCATTTCAAGATCATCTCACCTACATTCATCTTAGAAAACTTCTGGATATTTTTTCCTACCCAAAGAATTTCCTTAATTTCTAATGGTAGTTTTGGTTGAGCAGAAAAAAAAAATGAAACTACTGGAATGAACTAGAGAAAATGATATGGGGTGGAGAGTCGGCAGAGGTAGATCTTGTCCAGAAGTTTATCCCTTTTGCCCAGGCTCCTGGTCCATGACTCATCACAAGGATCTTTATAAGTGGAGGAATCTTGTGTCCAAGGAAGATAGTTGCCTCCCATCTAGAACTGAAACTATGATTTTGGTTTGGTTTTAATTAAATATTTTCAACTTTCTGTCATATGTATTATTTGTGATTATCTCTTCAATTACTACTTTTATCATTTCTCTGTTCAAAAACCCCCAGGGGCTCCCTATTATCTTTCATATGGATCTAAACTTCTGCTGTTATTCTTCTCTCTCCTACTTGACATCACTTGAACTTCATCTTTGCTGAGCCTAGTACCATTGAATCAGATAACAGCACTGTCTCCAGACCGATCTGCTTAATGCCCCTGAACTAAACTACTCTTGACTTCTAATCTTTACATAATATTTATTATACCTGTAGAATATAGTTAAATTTTTGAAATTTTGAGAATTACCCATACTTATATTGTGAAAACGTATAACAACATTGAATTATATTTCTGAAACAGACTCTTTTTTGTCTTCATTTTTTAAAAAAATTTCACTGCAAATAGAATTCTGGGTTGACTTTTTTTTTCTTTCTTTCAATGCTTTGAATACATTAGTCTACCATTTTCTGGCATACATTGTTTTTAACAAGAATTCTGCTATTATCTTTGTTCCTCAATATGTAATATATCTTTTTTCCTGTGACTGCTTTTAAAGTATTCTTTTTATGATTTAAGTGGTTTGATTGTGGTGTAGTTTTGTGTGGTTTTCATCATGTTTTTTCTGCTGAGGTTCTTAGAACTTTTTGGATATGTATGTTATAATTTGCATCAGATTTACAAAGTGGTAGTTCATTTTTTATTCAAATATTTCCCCTACCCAATTCTAATTTCTTGAATATTATGACCATTGAAGATCTCTCACAATTAACTGATATTCTTTTTTTTTTTTTAATGTTTTTCTCTGTGTGTTTTAGTTTGGAAAATCTCTGTTATTTTGTTTTCAAGTTTACTAATCTATTATTCTGCAATGTCTAATCTGCTATTAATTCTATCCAATGTATTTTTAGCTCCAATAATGTATTATTACCTCTAGATTTTCAGTCTGGGTTTTTATAGTTTCTTCCACATCTCTCCTTTACATGCTCATGCTTTTCTCTATCTCTAAAACATATGGAACAAATGACTTCTTAAAAATTTCTTATCTGCTAATTTTATCATGTATCATATCTGGGTCATTTTATATTGCTTGATATGTTAGATCATATTTTACATGTCTGGTAATTTTTTATTGGATGCTGGGCATTGTAAACTTTACATTTTTTGATGCTGGGTTTTGATTACTATTTTGTTAAATATTTTTTAGCTTTTTTTATTCCTGAGATGCAGTTAAGCTACTTGGAAACAATTTGATCTTTTCAAGGCTTGCTTTTAAGCTTTATTAGGTAGGACTGAGCAGCCTTTAGTTCTCTCATTTTTCCCTACCACTAAGACAATACTAAGTACTCAACCCAACGTTCTGTGTATTTTGAGGTTTCTCTATTCTATCTGTTGGCAATCTTAGGTGTTCCTAGACCTGTGTAGCTCTGAGAATTGTTCTACTAGCTCCTTCCATTGTTTTTGTTTGTTTTCTGGCAATAGGCCATTTCTTTATATGCAGCTGAAAATATAAGGGAATACCCCTTACAGATCCTAGAAGTGTGTCTCTGTAGCTCTCTGAGCTCTGTTTCCACAACCACTAGGCTCCGTTAGAGGGTCTCTCTCCCTGCATGGTGGCCTGCGAGCTCTCCAGACAGTCCTGGGACATAGCGGGACTTGCCCTAGTTGTTCTCCTTCTCGCCGTGATTCTTGCCATGTGCTGTCCGTGTTTGAGAACCACTGCTGTTTATATTCTGACCAGTTTTTCAGATGTGCAAGGCTGAAGGATAAGTGTTGTCCCATTACTCTGTCATGGACAGAGGTGGGAGTCCTCACATTCAATTATATGAAATAAATCTTTTCCTCATTCACATGAGGTCCATCTACCCCAACTCAAGAGTAACCGGTATAGTCACTTTTATACCTCTTCTAAGCCTGCACATGTACATGAGCACCAGACTGCATTTGGTTTTGTTTTCACAAAATGGGATTGATATATATACAACTTGCTTTCTTAATATATTGCTTTCTAATATTACAGCATAATATGTGTGATAATATCTAAAAAACTGAAGTTTCTTGGGGGTGGGAACTTTCCATTTCCTTTTTATCTTCATGACACCTTGTAACCCTCCATATATACAGGGTTTCTCAATAAATGCTCATAGGTTGACTATGGCAAATCTCTCTTACTCGGTTTTTATAAAATCTTTTTAAGTTTTTTTAAAATATCAAATAGAGACAGTAATCTAGAGTAAGATCTTAGCAATAATTTTTATATCTTAAAATAATGAGTTATCATTCATGTCCCAATTGTATATTAAGACTGAAAATAGTGGCCTTTATTTCATTTCAGAGTAGTATCTGAGGAAATCATGGATGCTCACTAATGTGGAGATTATTGTACCTTCAAAACAAATTTTGGGGGGACAATGAGGGATATTGGCACATCTTTAGAAGCTAATAGTCTAATGCCACATGAATCAGCTAAGAAGCAGCAGCCACACCGTTTGGAAATAACTTGATTGAGAAAGTAAACATTTATTTACTCTCACCTTAGCTGACAAAAAGCAAATCACTTTTATTTTAGGTGTCTACTTATTAGTGGTCTTCAGAAATGGTCTCATTGATTTGACCAAGGGAACAAACAGATCCCTGTTTAGCTTATTGTAGCCTGCTTTTAAGTCTGAAGACCCAAATTCAAGTCACTGCCCTATCATTGACTAGCTATGCAATCCACTTATATTCTCTGGGTCACAGATTTCTATGCCCTGCCTTATTTCATAGGGTTGTTGTGAAGGGTATTTGAGTTAAATACATGAAAATTCCTATGCCGGGTTCGGTGGCTCAGCCTGTAATCCTAGCACTTTGGGAGGCAGAGGTGAGTGGATTGCCTGAGCCCTGGGTTCGAGACCCGCCTGGGCAACTTGGCGAGACCTCATCTCTACAATAAATCAAAAATTAGCCAGACATGGTAGTGCACATCTGTAGTTCCAGCTACTTGGAAGGCTGAGGCGGAAGGATCGCCGGAGCCCAGCAAGTGGAGGCTGCAGTGGCGGGGAACGACCACTGCACTCCAGTCTGGGTGACAGAGTGAGACTCCAACTCAAAAAAAAAAAAAGAAAATTCCTTATTTAAATAATTAAGGGTTGTTTCAGCGTAAGATACTATCATTATTTGCTTGAAGTAGTTGAGGGAATGAGAGTCACTTAAAATTATATTTTTACCTAAAGATTATTTATGTAATGCATTTGTTGCTGTTTAGTTGCGATCATTAAATTTGGCACACAACAGTGTTTCAAAGTCAATTTTCTGGTTCAAACAGCAACAAAGAATAAAAAGTGGAATTATAACATGGGAACTGTCTTTATACAGTTTATCCAGTAGGTGGTGGTATATATCTGTTATATGTTTATTACTATATCTTCCCTTTCAGTCTGTTGAGAGAAAAATTATGAGAAGTACACAAGCAAAGCATTCCCTTCAAGATCTTGCATGATCAATTTGTTTTATTTTAAAAATAAAATCAATATATTTAAATAATTGGCAATTTCACAGGGCTAGAGTTACTACTTTATTAACACAATGAATGGTTTCACTGGACTTGAAACCCTTTTCCCAAATTACCAAGTTAGCTTTCTTGTTAAATTCTTAAATCATCTTAAAATCATTTTTGTATGAAATATTTTCCTTATAAATTTTTTACAAAGAATGTGCAGCTTCCTAGTAGTTTTTCCAAATTACTATTCATTTATTTTCTTAGAAATAAATTCTTACTGTCATAATTGACAATGTCATTGAAGGCCCAGGAGCAAAAATCAAAAACATGTTTAAGTGGAGCAATTTAGCCCTGACGTCTGTTGATTTAAAGTACTGATTTTTTTGTTGTTTTTTTAAAGATATTTCAAGGAAACAAAGATTATCACCAGGATGTGCGTAATAACTTTTTGCCACCAATTATTGCACGTTTTATTAGAGTGAACCCTACCCAATGGCAGCAGAAAATTGCCATGAAAATGGAGCTGCTTGGATGTCAGTTCATTCCTAAAGGTAAAGAGACAGTGTGTTTAAGGTACATGATTTTCACTTGATTCCTAATTTTAAATGGTTTTGCTGCTCTCGAACAACTAATAATAATGTGAGTGTTTTTGTGTATAAACTCTCATTAAATATCTTCTTAAAGAAACTTTTAAAAACATATAGCTCTATTAAAAAGTTATGTATCAGCATGATTTCCAAAATTATACGTGGAAGGAGAAATAGTATAATTCATAATATATTATAAGGAGATTGTTTTCCAAGTTAGCCTCAGTCCTAATAATTTTTAATCACAGTCTCATGTACTGTGATGTTTGTGTAATGTAAACACTGAAGATTAAAGCAGTAAATTAAAAGAAGAAATAATTTCTGTCAACATTGTATAATATTGTAATATGTTGTTTACTCTCTCTCTTTCTTTTTCTTTTCTTTTTTTTTTTTTTGTTTTGTGAGTTGGAATCTCACTCTGTTGCTGGGCTCAGGCGACCATTCCGCCTCACTCTTCCAAGTAGCTGGATCTACAGGCATGTGCCACCACGCCCAGCTAATTATTTATTTCCTTATTGTAGAGACAGACAATCCTTTCTCCTCAGCCTCCCAAACCCTAAAACTATCACAGTGCCTAATACATCGTCAGCCCTTCATAAATATTTATTAAGTGAACTGAATAATATATCAGATTGTGATGAATCCTCTATAAATTTAGAGTCCAGCATCACTCTCCTCTCATATTATTATTTCAGTATTATCCTTCATAGAAAGATTATTTTTGACCAGGTGCAGTAGCTCATGCCTGCTATCCCCAAATTGGGAGGCTAAGGCAGGAGGATTGCTTGAGCCAAGGATTTCGAGACCAACCTAGGCAACATAATGAGACATTGTCTCTACAAAAAATAAAAACATTAGCCAGGCATGGTGTCACGTGCCTGTAGTCCCCACTACTTGGGAGGCTAAGGTGGAAGGATCACCTGAGCCCGGGAGGTTGAGGCTGTGGGGTGCTGTGATTGTGCCATTGCATTCCAGCCTTGGTGACAGAGTGAAACCCTGACTCAAAGAAAAAAAAGCTAAGAAGATTATTTTCAGGTGATTTAATTATTTAAAAATTGAGAAATCGCTGAATATTTGTATATATGATGAGGAGTATGATATTCTTCTGATAGATTTATCTGTGAAATTTAATATTATTCTGCAGAATTAAATACTTCAGGCAATGTTGAAGACATTTAACATTGCTATTTTAAACTTATAATTTATTTTTAAAACAAAATGTAAATTTTCTAAACCATTTTTCAAGGTCGTCCTCCAAAACTTACTCAACCACCACCCCCTCGGAACAGCAATGACCTCAAAAACACTACAGCCCCTCCAAAAATAGCCAAAGGTATGCCTGCTTTTAATGTGAGATTTGATAGTCCCTGGACATGTGGTATAAATTTCCATAAGCATGTTAAAAACAATATAAAATAACTTTATCTTAAGTTGGTATAGATTACAAAATAAAGATTTTTTTAAAAACTCTTTTCAAGGTCGTGCCCCCAAATTTACTCAACCACTACAACCTCGCAGTAAGAACGAATTTCCTGCACAGACAGAACAAACAACTGCCACTCCTGATATCAAAAACACTACTGTAACTCCAAATGTAACCAAAGGTATGTAGACGTGAAAATGACCACCTGTTACAAAGTAGGGTTTTGGTTTAGTTTTAACTAGTTTTCGTGTCCTTTCCAGCTTCAACTTTCCGTTTATTTTCTTCCAACTACATTTTTTAAGTATAGCAAAAAATTTGATTTTTCTTTCTTAGGGAAAAGACTTATTGCACTGATCCAAGTTCTGTTCTCTGGTGCTCAGTAGAATTGCTCTTCAAATATTTACAGATGACTACTGTGTTGTAGGTCTCCTCTTGTGACTTTTTTTTTCCCCACCCCTTAATAGCCAAACATGCTGAGTCTCAGACTTAGAAATACAATGTTTTTAGAAGTTTCTAGAAATAACTAAAATCATAGCAGGCAATAAACTTTTTTCTCCCTGATAACATACTAATTTGCTGGTTAGAGAACTTCATGGCAAAAAAGAGAGAGAAAAAAAAAACAGAATTTTTAATGGAAACTAAAAAAAACTGAATCAACATATTCATTAAAAAAAACTGATCTCTTTTAAAATATTTACAGTTAAAATGTTTTTAGATTATAAACACAAATATATTAGAATTTACTTTCAAATTTTGTTGTCAATGATAAATAAGTTATTAAAATATATGAAAATAGTTAAAGCATACAAAAGGCAGTTGTTGTTTTACTAGTTGTTGAAAAACAAAATTTCAGTTGAAGTTTTTAAAAAGTGGCAGTGTCCCAGTGGAGGAAGTGTCAGTACTGGCAGATAAAAAGCCCACTTGTTTTCAGAAAGTACAGAGATGAGAAAGCAGTTCAACCAGAGTCACTTGTATCACACAGAACTTTAATCATTCTCATTTTTTGAAAGTTTGCCTGATTGAAATAACTTTCTCCAACTTCCACATATTGGTTTCTTTCCTATCTTCTGAGGTATTTCTACAAAGGACAGTTTCTGTCTTATGTTCGGTTAAAGGTAGAGAGAAGCAAGAGATCTTGGCGAGAGATCACGGCATCACACAGAGCTTCTTACCAATGGTCAGCAGGCATGTGTTTAGGCAGAATCCCAGACCACATGCCTGGATGGAAGAAGAGTCATTTAAAGGTGCTGCTCATCTTAAAATCTGATTGCAGAATCAAAATCTCAAGGCTAGAAGTGTCCTTAAAGTCTTTTCTTCCAGAATTAGGACCTCTGTAAGCTTAAAAATAATAGAGTACAGTGGTCTTCTCAGTTAAGGACCTCCTGTGGCTTTTTCTTTGGGATTGTAGTTTGTAGGCTTACTTTCTGAACCTAAGCTGATGTTTTAAAGCCTCTGATTAAATAACACTGCATCCATCTAAACTTGATGGTTCTCTTCGGTCTCACAAACTTTAGGGAGAAAGCACACTTAGTCTTCTGAATTCTGAATGTCCCTTAGCCTGATTTCTGTTTTATGCACTTCTGCCCCTCCATTTTTACAACCAGGCGGAGAGTGATTTCATGGGGAAAATAGTGTCATGGTCAGATGTGTGCCTCTGTAGCTGCCAGGTCCTCCCCCAGCAGGGCCCCTGGCACCAGCTGCAGTCTTCTGAACGTCCCTAGTGAGCTCTTCTGTCTGTTCTCAACAGTAGCTATTTCAGTGCTCTCCATAATTTTCAAACCCACGACCCAGATATTTTCATTCACTGTAAGTTACCTCTTCAACTTCACAAAGAAAGTGAAAACTGTTGAAAGGAAACTCCCTTTTTGTGGGGCCTCCAAACTTACCTGGATGGATCTTCTGTTCACTGCAGTGAAAAGTGGGCTTCCTCGTGCTGCCCAAGGCTGGCCCCTTCACCTGCGCTCTGGTTCCCATCCATCGACCTCTGGAAACTGGAGGTTACTGATGATGATCCTCCTCTTCTCCTTATCACCATCCTTTTTCTCTCCTTGGGTTGCAGTGGTATAAGGAGTCGAGAAGGGGCTGCAGGTTAGACTCCTGGTGTGTCTGGTTCTGAGCTCCCCCAAGTTACTGTTGTTAGGAGTTGAGAGATAAAGGCGGAAACTAACATCCCAGTTAACCTTGGCTAGACCTTTTTCTAAATCTGGGCCCAGGATTCCTTGTCTGTGGAGTGAAGTTAGGGAAACGATCCCTGAGTCCCTGTCAGCTCCAACATCCTGTCACTTCTGACCTAAGCATCTTTCTATGCTTAACGCCACATGGTTACCTTCCCGTGTCTGTAAATGTTTTGCCATTATGTTGCAACATGGTTATCAATTGCTGGATTATGTTCTCCTGTTAGGTGGATACCATGATTTATTCATTACCTCTCGTTTGAGGACATTTTGGATTATTTCCAGTTTTTCACTCTTATGCAGAAACAGGACAGAACATCTTTAAAGATGCATCTTTAAATGTCATCTTAATTTTTTGAAGAAAAAATTATAGCTATGTAATTGCCAAGTAATAGATTTTTATAGATATTGCCCCAATGTGCCAATCAGAAAGATAGCATCAATTTATATTTCCAATTTTTAAAATGCCCGTTATCCTCTTCAATAATTAATTGTTGTTCTTTCAAATATTTGCCAATTTTATCAGCAAAATTAGTATCTTGTTATTGCTTTAACTTATATTCTTTTGATTACTAGTGAGGCTAACCTGTATTTTTTAATATATTGCTAGTTCACCTCCACAGATTTTTTTTCTGTTGCTTTATTTTGACTTGTATAGTCCTGTAATGTATTAATTATTTATACTAACTCTTTATCACATGCAGAAAATATACTTTTCCAGTTTATTATTTGTCAATTTTACTTTGCTTATTTAAAACATGTGAATATTTCAGATATATGCAGGTGGAATGAATGGTGTTAATGAGCTGCATATGTCCATGGAAAGCTTCTGCAGTATCAATGCGTGCCAAGTGTTTAGAAATAATACTTAGGGAATTTTTTGAGATTAAAAAATATTGAGTGATGATGTAATTAAACCTTGCAATCCTTTCCCTCATGATTTCTACCCTTGGTGTTAATGTGCTTTTGGTGTGTTTTTGTCTTTATCACTTCAGATGTAGCCCTGGCCGCGGTCCTTGTCCCTGTGCTAGTCATGGTCCTCACTACTCTTATCCTCATATTAGTATGTGCTTGGCACTGGAGAAACAGGTTAGTGCATCCTGAACTCACCTGATTGGTCCAAGACTACCAAGTGTGAAACAGAAACTAAACATAGAAGATAAACTACAGGCAGTTCACCTGTTTGAGAGTGAGAGTTATAAGGGAGTCATAGAATAAAAATGTCATATGTTTCTCCTTTATTACCATTACAGATGAGCCCATCAGATACAACTTTCAGTTCCAAGTACCTTTACTGTATCAAGTACTGCATTATATGTTGGGGTTGTACCTTAATACGAACACTTTCTGGCACATGATAGATACTTAGCAACACACTTAAAGAAAGAGACAGCATTTCTTTCCCCAAAGTGTGGACAGGGTTGACTGACATAAAATGAGGAATTAAATAATACTGTCTGATGAGTTGTATATAAAGTGCTGAGGAAAGCTGTGAGAATTATCTGAAACATTTTCTCCAGGAAAGGGTCATCCTCAAGTTTGGCATGTTTTACCTTAAAAGAAATGGAGTGGGCTAGATAGAGGAAGGTAGATGTCTTAGTTAGTTTGAACTACTATAAGAATAAACCATAAACTGGGTGGTTTATAAACAATAGAAACTGATTTCTTGCCTGATGTGGTGGCATGCTTTTGTAGTTGCAGCTTCTTAGGAGGCTAAGGTGGAATGATTGCTTAAGTCTAGGAGTTCAAGTCCAGCCTGGGCAACATTGAAAAACCCATCTCAAATAAAGAAATAAATAAAACACCTTTTCATACACACCCCAACACAGTTGTTATAACAGTAATGAAACTTATGTCTTATATTTCTGGAGACTGTAAAGTCCAAGATCAAAGCACTGGTAGATTCAGTGACTAGTGAAGACCCACTTTCTGATTCAAAGCAAGTGCCATCTTGCTTTGTCCTCACATGGTAGAAGGGGTGAGCAAGCTCCCTCGGGCCTCTTCTCTGAGGGCGCTGATCCCTTTCATGAGGACACTGCCTTCATGACCTCATCCCGCCCAGAGGCTCCACTTGCTAATACCATCACCTTGGGAGTTAGGATTTCAGCATGGGCATTTTGGAGAGACACAGACCTTCAGACACAGCAGCAGAGAATGATCCAGGCTGAGGGAATTGCTCGAGTGAAGGCACAGAAATATAGACTGTTGGCAGAACAACGAGTCTTCTCATGTGGGCTGGCATGATAGAGTCATGAGGGAACCATAGAAATGCCGTCCATGCCTGGATCAGGAAGTTCTTCCTGGAAGAGAGAAATGTAGATTTTATTTTATAGATGGGGAAGTATAATTGAGTGTTAAGCAGACAGGTGACAATGTCAGATGGTTGCAGGAAGATGGTGGCAGGAGTTTTGAAGGCTGGATTGAAGAGGGGAGTTACTGAAGGGGACATCAAGATGAGTTAGAAGGCCATGGAGGCCAGGCAGGCACCTGACAGTGATCCCAGGGAAGAGAGAAGAGGTGGAGTGGCGATGTTTTCCAGTGGCAGGGACAAGACACATGGCTAGTCATCTCCTGAGGAAGAAGAAGGGGTCCATGTGAGATTTCTGGCTTGTGCAGTTAGACCGGTAGAGATGCCATGAGTTGCGATCACAGAGCAGGAGGGACAGGTTTGGTGGGAAAAGAGAATGGCTTCATTTGTGTAGCCATTCAACAAATATTTGAATACCTGAAGCCCAGTGATGAGTCCCAGGAGAGGACGCAATGCAGAAAATCCTCAGCCATGGCACCGGCCACAAAGTCCTCCCACATGCCCAAGGAGGAAGCTGGAGGATCCTGAGTGTAAGGACAGGAGGGGATGGGGGGAGGCTTTAGGAAAGTCCAGAGAGGACAGTGCATGACACACTCATGAGCTCAGGAACAGTGATGGTGATGATGAGGCCAGCAGTAGCAGGAGCTACTTTTTATAGAAAATTGAATGCTGATTGTCGGCATTATTCCCAAAACAACCTGTGAAGCAGTACTGTCATAAGCCCCATTTTAGAGAAAAGGGAAGTGAGACATGGCACAGGTTACTTGCCCAAGGTCACCAGCTAGTGTGTGGCAAAATGGAATGTGGGACCAGGCTTCAGGGCTCGTGTTCTTACCCACTGCTGCCTGAGAGCAAATAACAAGCAAAAAAATAAAGTGTAACCCACTGGATAAAGCACAGGGTGTGATAGTGAGGACCTGGGAGTGGAGCTCTCAAGAGGGCAGGGGTCAAGGCCTGATGTCCATGTGGGAAGTGTTGGAAGGACCCTACGGGCGTTCAGATCCTAAGAGGCGGTTGGGCCTCATGCTTGGTGTTCAGGACGCCAGGAGAATTGGAACACTGGAGAACTGAGGTTACTACTAAAAATGTAGTTGACATTGTTGGTGAGTGGCTTCGTGACAAGGAGTAAGGAGCAGGGCCATTAAGGGGCTGTGGAAAATAGGGAGGAGGAGAATAATCATACAGGGCTGCAAGTCACTGATTCCTGGCCATGCCCAGCTGTGTGCTATGCACGTGATGTGTGGATGTGTAAGTGACCTGGGGCTTTGACTCTTGAGACTAAGTATATAGAATCCTTTATGGTACAACCTGTGGTTAATAGACCATTAAATGTCTTGTGCTAGCCATTTAGAGTATCTAACTTCCATTTAGAAAGGATTATTGTATTTTTTAAAAATCTTACGATGTTAGAGGATTTTCAGAGAGAAAAGTATTTAATAACCCAGCATGTTTTATTATTTCTTTTCCATTCAAGCTTTTGATTAGTAGCTTCAGCACCTACTATCTCTTCCACAGATTTTACATTATACTTTGAAATAATGAAATCATCCAAATACAGCCAGGCTTTAAAATGAGAAAGCTTTTAACATCAATAATGGAAACACAAGCTTATACTGGAGAAGAGCGTTTCCTAGTAGGAAGAGCACATGACTGGGCTCTTTTTGAAGGCTGCAAACCAAAACAGCTATCTTGTTCTTATTTTAGACTAGAATAATTTCTGCTTTCTCTTTAGTTGACAAAGCACTAATTTTAATTAAATTAAGTGTCCACTCTTGAATCAGAAAACGTCCTTTCCTTTGCTTAGTTTCTCTTTGTTAAAGACTGTTGGTAAAGGGTAATTCCTAATGGAGGGGAGGGAGATTCCTTCTGGGAAGAACAGCTTATAATTCGGAGGGGTGTGCTGGGGAGAATCTTCTCCTCTCGTAGGGGACTTTCACCTCCCCGAGTCTGGTCACGTGCTCCTCCCTCTCTACTTGACAAGGTTAGTGGTAGCATTGACTTACCAGCTATGGTTGGAAAATCAATTCTATGCAATTAATAGTGTGGGGCACTTTAAACTTCTGTGGCAAAAGGGCTGTAGAAGAAAAGAAGTTGAGGAAAAAAGAACAATGCAGAATAGAAAACCAGAAGGACATGGAGCTTTTTTTAGTTCTGTGACTTTTGTGTATAGATTGTGAAATTTGTAGTTGAATCCAAAACAGACCTAACATGATTTGCCTATAATGACCCACGTATCAGAGCTGATTCTTTGATTTGATTCTGTCTTTTCATCTACAGACTTGGCTTTTTAAAATTCTCTTGATCACTTTTGAGTGGGTAGTAGATAGGTAGCAAGATACTGTCCCAGAAGATAGTTGCTTAATTTATTGAGAGCCCAAAGTTTATAAACCTCACTAGTAACAATTTAGTAAGTCAAATGAAATAGAGTATTCCCTTGCATAAGTCAGCAAGTAGAAATGTGTTCTCTTGACTAATTATTAACTTTGGTGTTTATTCTGCTGTTGTGGAGATTTCTTACCACTAAATTTACTCTGTTTGCTAACCTTTTTTTTTTCTGTATTTTTCCAGAAAGAAAAAAACTGCAGGCACCTATGACATACCTTACTGGGACCGGACAGGTAACTCACATGGTCTCTGCATCCCTTTTCCATCAGAGGAAAGTTCCTCCCCTACAGGGGCAGTAGTGAAAGAGGGAACGTTCTCAGGCCCACCTGAACTCCTGGCACTGCTAGAAAAGTGGCATGGTTCTTCTGTTCTCACCACTTTTACCCTTCTGCAAAATCTCTTCTAGTTAATAAGTAATGAAAAGCATGAATTCCTCATAACACATGCTCTGTTCTTTTTCTTCTGAAAAACCTGTCTGGTTTTTCCCGTGTATCTTTTTTCTTGAGGAAGCCAGACTTGTATGTGGCCCGTGTGAACACTGAATGAGAAACAGAGGGCTGTGGTGACACAGTGGTTGCTTGTCTACTGCCCTGGTTATTCACCAAGTGGAATCCAGCAGTTCTGTAACTGTAAGGCCTGCCATGATGAGTTGTCATCTCACTTTCTGCAAATGACATCAAAGGCCCCCTACCAGTCTCCCACTTCCTGGACTCACGACTGGAATAACTGAGGAGCAAGGGGAGGGTACTGCCATGACCAGCATGGAAGTTACCGTGGTATGGGCAGATCACAGTGCTGCTGGTGCCCAGGGTGGACCTTGAAAAGTATTTTTGAGAAAGACTTACTAAAAATCGCCCCTCCAGTAGACACTGTATCAGGCTGCACTGTAGTGATTTGCTTCTGCATATGTTTTCAATAGAGATTTCCACCACGTTGTGCTTTGCACTGGGTCGTCAATCAAAGCAGAAAATAAGCTTGAATAGAAAGGCTAGTTTGTAGAAATATTGTTACTGAAATGACTGAAATGCAACAGGATTTCTCCCTTGATATTATCATTCGAGACATGGATGTTTATTTATGGTCTCTGACTCATGAAGGTTGGTGGAAAGGAATGAAGCAGTTTCTCCCTGCCAAGTCAGTGGAACATGAGGAAACCCCGGTTCGCTACAGCAGCAGTGAAGTCAATCACCTGAGTCCAAGGGAAGTCACCACAGTGCTGCAGACCGACTCCGCAGGTAACTATGACAGCCTCCAAGGACCAGGTAGAGAGAGGAACTGCTTGTGCTGCTGTAAAGTGCTTTGGAATTTATATCTTTTGTTTTTCTCATGTGTAAGAGATGAACTATTTTCTAAAGGTAGAACGACTTTGTCTTGAAAGTTCTATCCAGTAAACTCGGGGCATTCATTTTATAAAGACTCTGGACATTTTGTATGTTAACTGGAGTTTTGTTTTGGTTTTGCAGGGGAGCAGAGGTGTTACAAGGAGAGCAGGAAAGACATAGAGAACCTTACAGTATCTATCCTGTTAATTTCACATATACTCATTTGAAACATTTTCTGTTAATTGAAGAAAAAAAGCCTCTGAAATTTTTTGACTAATACTTATTCCAATAATTGACTATTTCTTTTCCAATGAAATACTGTCTGTAAATCTAGAGAACATATGCAAACACTCTATACAAAATAATGTGAACGAGGCTTTCTAGCATATTCACTCACTACTGTGAGATACTAGATTCTACTTTAATCTTACCTTTGAAGTTGGTTCTTACAGGTGGGGCATCATAGATCTGTGTTGATAGCAGCAAATGTGCCATGAAGAAGTGTTTGCTTTTTGGTGTCATCTGCAGCTGCCACCCTAAATGATGCGGTCCCTGGGTTAGTAAGATGACTTTTTTGTTGTGTTTTGTGATATCCAGAGTATGCACAGCCACTTGTGGGAGGAATTGTTGGTACTCTTCATCAGAGATCGACCTTTAAACCAGAGGAAGGAAAAGAAGCAGGCTATGCGGACCTAGACCCCTACAACTCGCCAGTGCAGGAAGTTTACCATGCCTATGCTGAACCACTCCCAATTTCTGGGCCCGAGTATGCAACCCCAATCGTCATGGACATGTCAGGGCACCCCACCGCTTCAGCTGGGCTGCCCTCCACATCCACATTCAAAGCTACAGGGACCCAACCGCCCCCATTAGTGGGAACTTACAACACACTTCTTTCCAGGACCAACAGCTGCTCCTCTGCCCGGGTCCAGTATGATACCCCGAAAGGTGGGAAGCCAGGTCCAGCCGCCCCAGAAGAGTTGGTGTACCAGGTGCCCCAGAGCACACAGGAAGTAGCAGGAGCAGGACGGGATGGGGAATGTGATGGTTTTGAAGAAATCCTTTGAAGGTGATGCTGCTTTTTGCAAAGCATCGTTTTAAAGCACATGGCCTTTTTCTTAATTACTAGTGGTAGTAATATAGAGAATGTATTCCATATCTGTCACTGAAGTGGTTGGGGAAGATGTGGTGACCGAGGTACAGGAAACTACTAATCTTGCCATCTTGCTTTAAAGGTGTTCCTGTGGCACAGTTACTGCTTGCCTATTAAGTTTCCAACATCCTGTTTGTTACTACTGTAAAACACTATTTTAATACAGAAAAGCTCCCTTTAATGCACTTCCAAGAAACTAAAAATCACTGAGAGTATTTATTGCCAATGCTGCAGGTACATGAATGAACTCAAGCAATGGCTCTCTAAGCCCGACTGACAATAACACATGGTACTGTTCTTGAAATCTCGAATGGCTTGAAATTCTCCTCTTTGTGAAAGATGGGTACTATAATGATTTTCTCTTCTATTCCTATTTCCTTTCTGGGTTTTTTTTTTTAATAGTGATGTAAGCATTGTTTTGATGGCTGGCAAATATAGTTTCCCTAGGAAGCTCTTTAGCTGGGAAACTGACTTGTAAGGAACAGAGTGATTGATTTTTCACTTTCTGACACTTTTGAGAGCTTTAATGCTTCATGGTACATGACCTAGTCTCATCCTTGCTGTTATACCCAGGGTCTTTGGTGGCTTGCCCTATTTTCGTGTTTATAAAATGTTGGTTTTGAGTTTTTCCATTGGGTGATACTTGCTTTACAGTCTCATGAATTCAGATGCCTCCTTTATGTGGAAACGGGAACAACTTTACAATTTGAAAGACTTTAACGGAGATCCTCTCCCTACCCCTAACTTTATTTGCAATGGGATTTTTCCTAGGAGAGTTGTGAAAAGTTAAGGGCTTCTAAGGGACTGATGTCAGCATGACCCACTTATGTTTGTTACAGTGAAAGGCAAAATCGTTCACTCAGAAGTAATACAAATTACCTTAAAAAACATAAACAAGTAAACGAATTGTCCTTTTTGGTTTTATACACACTAACAAACATAAATTTTTCTTATGGTTCAATGTATTTTCTCTGTGAAATAAAATTACTTTTAATCTTAGTTTTCGACAGTGTGCTGTTACACAAAAGATAAACCTAACATTCTTCAGGATTGGTGATCGTGCCCTATGTCTGTGTGGTAACAGATGTGAGCAGTTCTTTATGTCACACCTAGGGAGCAGTTGTTATAGCACCCTAGCAAATGAACATTCATGCCTTGTTTTTGATAACTTCTGACAACTTCCTTGTCACCACTTGTTTCATGACCTGCTCAGAACTACTTTTAGATAGGGTAAAATAGAAATCATATGTAATTTATCAGCCTATAGTGAAAAACTATCTTTAAAAGTACTTAGACTGGCAAGACAACATGAGAAGCTCACTATGTGATAAAGTATGTAAATTTGACATCCCCTCTTCCATAAACCTTAGTTTGGATTTAATGTCAAACTGTACTTTTCCATCAGATTCTGGTCATTTCTGTTGGCCAGTGCCACCAGATTGTGATGTTGCCAGAGCTCAGTTTGAACAAAGATGAACAGTATTCCTTTTGCTTGCCTTCCGTGAGTATATCAGCATTCCAAAACATTACTTCAAAAAGTGTTTATTTTTGCAGCCTTCCTGCTCTCTTGTATGATTTTGCTGGTTTTATTTTCATTTGCTTTTCCTTTTCCAGAGAAACCTTGAGGCACAGTTTCATTTACTGAAAAAAATCAATGCATATTTTGTTTCAAATATTCGAAACAAAAAGCACAGACATTAGACTTTTATTAAAACATTATGAATGTGTGAAGCACATGTATTAATGCAGTCATCCACTTTCAGGTGGGAAGAGAGTAAACCAGTTTCTTTATTTTTTTATTCATCTTTAGAAAACAATATACTTTTCTTCATGTCATAAATCTGCTTGAAGCTTTAAGAGAAATGTTTTCAATAACTATTTCATTTTCCCAAAGAAGTTTGCTATTTTAGTGTAATTGTGTGTGCCTGATTGTTTTTCCCTAGTTTTTTTGTTTTGTTTTTTATTTTGATGAGAGGCAAGTGTTTTCTGAAATTATGTGTATTTTAAGATTTGATTCATCTTGCCACTGCGCTATCCTTGAAATATCCAGTGATTTTTATAAAATATCTGGTTTTTACTACTTTTATATATCATACTCTCCAGATGAAGAGCTGAGCCTGATTTAAATGGGTTTTCTGAATTGTACTTTTAGTTTGTTTTCATAGTAGAGGTTTTATTAATTTGTTTTTGTTTTTCATTACATTTATATGTCTGATATGTATCCAGCTTTGGAGACAATCAAGTAACAACTGAAAATGTGAAAGTAACAGTTTTTACAGAGTTCCCTTGAATTTTATGCTCTGCTTTAAACATTTAAGACTTAAAGTCACTATGGTTTATTGGATTAAATATTTTTCCTGCTAACACAATGATAGAAATAGAACCAGGCAGTGACACAGCAAGTGTGAATATTGCAGGTGTCATAAAATTACAATGACTTGGCTGTTTCTTGATCTTAGGGACCAGCACAGTTAAAGATAAGATATTGTGAATTCTGATTTTCATTTTATTAAACACTATAAATCTAAATAGATCTGTTGTATGTGCTGGGTCTAGTCCAGTTATTTAAGTTCACATTTCACTATTTGCACTTTGCATTGAACAATGGGTTTATTCGCTGATGAAAATGGTACAAGTAGAGAATTTGTACAAGAAATAAAATTATGGTGTGATGTACATGCTTGCCTCTTCCTTTTCTCCCTCTGCTTTGGGAGTAAGAAGCAGATGAGTGTGGCCACAAAGCTGTGGAAAGTGGTCAAGCTTGAACTTCTTTGTCGTGGTGTGCGTCATTGTCACTTAGAGAGCAAAAGGGCTACTAGAAACACCATATCAGATGAGATAGTTAGAAAGAATCAGTAGATTGTATGAGACATTTAAAGCTTTTCAACCCTCTTAAGAGGAGTCAATGAAGCTCGACCTTAAAAAAAAGTATTATTTTATTAGCACTGCCTTTTGGTTCTGAACTTGAAGTCTCTAAACTGCAAAATCTAAAGTTTCAGTTGGATGATTATTAAAATATTTTTAAATAAACTGTGGCATCAGTTCTCATTTAATCTAACTTGAAATGAGTTTCTTCTGATAGTTGTTTTGTTTTTTGTTTTTTGTTTTCCTTTTTTTGGCACTGGGAAAGTAGAAACAAAACATGTATTGAAATACATATTGGAAATAAAAATGGCTTGAGCATCAGTGATATTCTCCCAGAATGTACTTTTCTTACCTCGGCATGTACTGTAGTCCCTCAGTATTTGTATATGTTGCTAGAATTTAGATTGTATAAATAGTGAGATTTTAATGTGTTCAATGTGTTTTTAATAAATTGTATATATGTGTCTTGCTCAGATTATTTGGCTTAAATAAAACAATCTTGAGGTTTGTAGCTTTTTCTCATTCTATATAAGATGCCAGATTCTTTGATTTTAATATCACCCAGAAATTTTATAGCTGATACTGTAGTGCTTCCAGCAACACGTGAAAATGCTACCATGAGTTTTTTTACTCTGGCTTTTTCTGTGGCCAGCACCAGCTTAATTTATTTGACATTAAACTGAATTTTCTGCAGCCCCGCTTCGACCTGTGGCTTTGTGGTCTGAGAGGACGATCACACTGAATGCATGTGGATTCCACTTGAGCACCTGCCTTTTCTATCCCAAAGTTACTAGCAGAGTCAGATGAAATGGTGGCACTGGACAAACGTACGCTCTAATCCTGGAACACAGTCCACAATTAGTGTCTGACCTATGTTGTATCAACTACAAGTTTTACACTGCTTTTAAGTACTTCATTTACTCCCATTTCTGAGCCTGATCTAATATTTCATCCTTTTTCCGCTTTTTCTAGACAGGCAGGTTGATTGTCAGTAAACCCAGTGTTTTCCAGTATTTATTGTTCAAAAGAAAATGATTCATTCTTCATCTCTTACCTCTTTTAACAGCATTCAGTTCCATCATTCCTATAAACTCTACTGTTCTCGTCCTTTCTTCTTTACCTCTCATTTCCCCACCCCCAAGTAGCCTGCGCTTTTGTATTTGTTAAAATTTGGGAAGAGACTGGCTTGTTTATTGGATTTGATTCCTCTCTTGTGTACCCTAGGTAGTCGGGTAAGCTTTCCATTTGAAGAGGAGCTTTAATCGTGAAAAATTGAGATTTTTCATGAAAATACCATTTAACCCCCCCCAAAAAAACCCAACCTGGCTTGACTTCTTAAGGATTTACATGCTTTGTTGTCTTTTTTGCCTCTCCTAATTTACTTCTAATTGAAAGTCTTCAAAATTTAATGAATAAATTAAGCCAAGCTAAAATAAGATGTTCTGTTTTCCTTCTTGAGCTTGCCTAGCTTAGCTTTTTTGTACAAAGTTCAACTTTTTTATGTATTTAAAACAATGCAAAGCCACCAGACTTTAGGAATTGAATTCTTTAGTTATTTACTCATCCTGAATTTTATGTTTAGCCTATTTTCTTTAACTTAAAAACAAAGCAAAACATCATCATCATTCTGCCAAATTACATCATGATCATGGTTTAGTTCATTGCAGGGGTGAAAGGCTTAATTAAGCCAGTATGAACTTAGATTTCCATAGGCGAGTGGTTCTGGTTTGCCACATCAAGGCACAATCACATGCCATTTCCCACCAGCAGGGTTTACAGTAGCCAGATATTCTTCTTGAAATGTCTTAGTCAAAATTGTTGTAGTAAACTTAAATCTACATACTTCTTTGGAAGTCACATTCTTCCAAAAGTCTAAGATGAAGTAACTCTAAAAAGATGTTTTAAAACACCTCAGAAAACTAGCTTATTTTTAAAACACAATGCAGTTGAAACTTATTTCCCTGATAACTAAACATTTCTTGGTTTTCATAAGTTAAATATATAGTATTCACAGAAATTAAGCTGGTGGTTATGAATCACCAGGCAGCAACAGACTTAATATACATACTTATTCAATGAGTGCATCCAACATATTTAAAAATAAACTAAAAATTGTACAAAAATAAAACTAATATTGTGAGCATCATCTTCTGAATCTGTAGGGTCAATCTTGAGTCAAGTTGATTACAAAGTTTTTTTCTATAATGTCCTTCAGAAAGAGCTGCTCTGCAGTCACATTGTGATAGGCATTCTAAAAAAGGAAAATAAAATTACCATCTGTCCCAATGCCAAAATATTAACCGCAATGAAATAATCTATCTACAAAATTCCAAATAAACCAGACTGTTACATAACAAGCCACATGTACTTGTAACTTGTTGCCTTTCTGATGTCTTTTCTTGCTCATTCTTATGCAGAAGCTTTCCCTAAAGCCCACTCTTTCCACTTAAACTCTGTCATAAGTCAGAGGCTTCTTTGGATCAGCCCCTGGTGTACTGAATCACCATATAAATCCAGAGACCAAAATTTTCGGTCAGAATAGATTGTTCACGTTTCTTTTTTTTTTTTTTTTTGAGTTGGAGTCTCACTCTGTCGCCCAGACTGGAGTGCAGTGGCCGCTCCCGGCCACCGCAGCCTCGCCTGCTGGGCTCCCGCGATCCTTC